ACTGTCCGTATCCTATGGAAATAAGGATAAATGGTAATTGAACATTTCAGTATAATTTTTAATTATAAATGATTCTACAAACGATGGGGTCATTAAATTTAGAATCTCCAAACGATTTCCTTTCGATTGGACCCTTAATTGGGGTTGATCGAACAATTTACAATTTTTGTCGGCCAGCATCATGTCAAAATTTGATTAATTTTTAAAAATTAATTGGTGAATGTACAAACAAATATTTTCACTGTACAATCATGTCCTAACGACGTACAATCGAGTACATAAGGTCGTTTTTTTAATTAGTGCCCTATGTCGGCTAAGTACCTGGAGGTCAACCCCTACTACCTGAGATCTAGTTACAGATAGTTGAGGATATAGTGAGGTAAGATCTAGTGAGAATTACCAACTTCATAAGAGAAATGTATGCCCTAGACAGATGGATAATAATCGAAACCCGAAAAATGTGCATAATAGCTCGTTGCTATGTGGCTATCTTTGTTAATATTCAACTAATTCAACCGATAATTGCATCAGTGGAAAGCTGATACGCGATTTATATAATGTAACTAAGGCCAGTTTTTATCTAAATGATCGCGTGAATTGATTATTAAAAAAAAATAGATTGGTGGTTGTGGAGGGGGAAGTTGTGTGGTGTATAGATACTTGGTCGCTCTTGGTGATTTCGTGGACTTGGCCCGATACGCTCCCGCGTATCTCGATGAATTTCAATTTTTTTTTCAAAATACTTGTCTCGGTGGCTACCATGTAGATCAATCAAAATATGTATACCCGGCCGTACAAAAAATCAAAGATATTCCCGTTTTTTCGTTTTTGCTTCCGAATGGAAGCATTGTAATCATGCAAATTTAAGTTTTTGATTTTTTGTTTTATATGGACTTATTATGACCCCAAAAGTCCGAATATGCATTTTTTAGACCGTGTCCATACGTGTGTATGTATGTGCGTGTGTATGTAACAAACGTTTTTTTCGATTGTGCGCTAGGGAAGCGATAGCATCGAATAATTTTTTTCCCTCAAATGTAGGTATTGGTGAGCCCTATCCACCACCATAAATTAAAATTTAATTCATTCATTCATTTTTAAAGTTTTTGAATTTTTTTGAAAATCGGTTTTTTCACGATAACTAAAAAAAAATGTTTCAAATTCATTAAATGTCGGCTCAAAAAAATCGTTGGGGTCTCTTCTTGATCGAGTTCGGAGATGGAGGTGATAGCAATATCATCGTCAGTTTAATTTTTCGAAAAATCAGAAGAAAAAAAAATTTAAATCAGAGTACTGTAGATATCTCTGGATTTTCGCCCTCAAATGGATTCAATCATAGATTAAAATGTTTGTTCATGAAAAGGATCGAAGCAAACCTGTTATGAGCAACTATAATATTAGATTTAACAATCTGAGATTTTAGTTATGCGGGGCTCATAATCCATATAAGTACAAAATCCCATAAGTACAAAAGAGAACAGGTATAGATTTGAGAAAGTGATGTTATGATGATTTCATTTTGTTCTTCTTCGTATACGAAGTATTACCTTCGTATACCTTTTGTATAATTAAATTTTGTATTTCATTAAAAGGTTGATTATCTTCCTGTAGATACCTTGTAGCATGTGGTTACGGTTGTATGCTTGTCACAAGGACAGGGAATTGCTACGGATCCATTCGGAAGCTTACTACCAATGGAATTGGTAGAAATAAAAAAAAAGAAAAGGATAATAACGCAAAAACTAACGGTCACATGCCTTCTGTCGGATAGGCTCGAACCCCTGCTTGTTTATTTTTTTTTTTCATCGTAAAATTCAGAAGATCTTTTGACGAACATCTGTTTTCAATTTTGGTGCTCTGAAGAATTCATCGGCGAGATGGAGAAAAAAACAAAATTTAGTCCTCCCAAAAAATTGTTTTTCCGAAAATATCTCGGCCTCTTGGAGTTGGAGAAATTTCGGTATAAATGTTTTTTATAGAGTAAAATGAGATCTACAAAGAACTTCTATGATTTTTTCCATCTACTGTGAATTCAGAGATATTCATTGCAAAATCATCTACACATTCAGTTGCCAATAAGTTTTTTTTTTACAATATCTCAAGATTGAAAAGAAAGAAAGAAGTAAAAATGGAAACTACTAAAAAGGTTATTACAAAAATCCCTCTGTCTCCTTTGCATTCCGAGAGATCATCAAAATATTTGGATTTGAGTGACACATCTTGTTTCTTGTCTTCACCGCTGAATTAATTTCTGTGCTGGATTATTACATTCAGGAGATGAAATTTCTACTAATCAGTGCTCAACAAATCATAAAAATGAAGCTCATTTTCCTGGATTTTATTTATTTTTGGAAATGGGTAAATTGTTGGTGTTCCATGCAGATTATAAGAGACTTTTTTGTCACTCAACTGAATTCGATGAACTTCCTCTTTCAGTGCACAAACCATTAGCGGAATGAAGAAATTCCATGCATGCATTCATTGTAGATTTGAAGATTGTGAGATGTAACGTCTAGAGTGCTGCTGAAACCTTTCGATATATGAAATTTATACGCAACAGATAATAGGGATTGTAACCATGAGTTTCAACGAATTATGAACAATGAAAGAGGAAGTTTATCTAATTCAATTGGGTGCGAAAGCAAGTCTCTTGTAATCTACCATGGTATAATGTACAACCTAAAAAAACAAAAACAAATGTTTGTGTAAAAAAAACTGCGCTAAGAAAACGTTTTGTTTGGTTTTTACTGGGAAATTGAAATTTTTGAAAAATACAAAGAAATAAAAACGAAAGCCAAGTCAGGAATGTCAAATAAATGGGTACAGCACACGATCAGATGTCTATAAAAAAATAGTTCTAAATAAAAGAAGGATTTTTAAAAAATTCTCCACAAAATAAGAAATCAGTAGGAGCAGGACCAACATCCTTGGCGCGGATCAGTAGATGGAGGATTAGATTGATATAGACAGTGAGTAGAAAAAATCCGCGCCAAGAACGGTGGTCCTGCTCCTACTGATTTCTTAATTTGTGGAGAATTTTTTAATTAATTACACAGTTGAAAAGCTCATAAGCGTTTTATATAATGTAACTAAGGACAATTTTCCGATTTGCTATAACGAATGTCGATCATTTAGAGGTAGTGGAAGGGGAAGTTCTGCCGTGTATAGATACGCGGTGCGCTCGGCCAGATGTTTTGTACAGTCGGCGTCAAAACTTTTCTTGGCCGATACGCTGCCGTGTATCTTGAATACGCGGTGCGCTCGGCCACATGTTTTGTACAGTCAGCGTCAAAACTTTTCTTGGCCGATATGCTGCCATGTATCTCTATGTATAATGTATAATGGATAATGTACACTGTACGTGTATAATGTACACTGTACCCATTTCGAAAAATAACGTTCTAATGTAAAAAACAAAAATACACAGAAGAGGGGGGGGACTCCAAATGACCGTCTAAAACTTTCTTTTTTATTTTTCCATACCAAAATACATAGATGCATAAAAAACATTTTTCTCTTCGAAAATCGGAGAAAATTTCCCACAAAATCTATGGGTTCAAATTTTTTTTTTTAGTGGTTCATAATTAGAATTGAAAAAAATTGCAGACGGTTGTATCTTTGATACAGCTGTAATTGCACATGGATACGTCCATGGTCTTTCCTTCTTTCTCGAATTTCCTAGAAACTCCTTGAATTTCTTTGAAATTTCTAGAAACTTGAATTTTTTAGAAATTTCAAGAAACTTTTCGAATTACCTCGAAATGTCTAGAATTTTCTAGAATTGCGATAAATGGCGCTGCACATAAAAACCGTTTCCCAAAATGACCTCCCATATTGAACCCATAGACGTCTCCACGTCAAAACAAGTTTGCAGAAGAAAAAAAAATCGGTTTTCAATATATCTTCCAATAATTGTGTTGGAGAACTCCGGATGAACTCATTTTTAGTGATGACGTCGAGACTACATGATAAGTTTTTGAATAGATCATCACTGTCTGAAAAAACATCAAAAGTTTTGGAATCATTGCAATCTTGAAAGACATTGGATCGGTGCATCTCATCACGATTTTTTGAGCACTTATTTTGCCTGGGTCTCGACTTTTTCGTTTTTTTCTGTTTTTATATCGCCGATATATGTGGACGTCCACATGAAAAGGGACCACTTTGGCACTATTGGAGTTATGTATATTCCCATCATCTTGATCTGATTCTGAACATTTAGAGCCCAGAATGAACTTGATAGCGTAAAGAGTGACGACGCTAAAGAAGATCGAAAAAATAATTTAACATGGGTTTAAATGGGAGTTGGCAAGAGAAAAACGTGAATATCTCGGAAACTAGAATCGACAAAATGGTCCCTTTTCATGCGGACGTCCACATATCATTACGATATATGTTTTTTTCTGACTGTAATGATCTATCCAAAAATTTTATCGTGTAATCTCGACGGCATCACTATTCATTTTTCTTCTCTTGGACTATGCTTTCCGATAACGATAAAAAAAACTTTCAAAATTTCGAAGCAATTTTTCATATGCAGAATTGACGATTTGCTCATATATTAGATGTTTTTCACCAGTATATACAAGAGTAAATCGATATCCACCTATCTGAGCATCCAATCCTTAGGATATAAACCTCCCAATCCTGAGCAGCCAAATTTACGTGCTACACACTTGTAAAATATTCCAATATTCATAATTGATATTCCATAAAAATTTGAAAAGCCTGATTGAAATTAACGTTAAAGTTAGCGTGAAAAAATAGAGTAATTTGCATGTAATAAACGATGAAAATATGCTGGAACTGGCATGGTCAGGGGACTTTATGAAGAGACCTGTCTAATTCGTAACCAATAAATTCTCTAACAAACGAGCTCTCTTGATGGATTCCTCTAGCACCAGCTAGGTGGGAATTAAGTATTTTGAAACTTTGATATCTTGTGTTCTTTATATCTACACTATTTATCTATCCCTAATTCACGGATATTTCGGTTTCAGGATATCAAGAGGATAAAAAAAAGTTTATGCTATTCTCAATTCATTGGAGAGTACCCATCATAATCAACTTTTGAGGAACAAATATCAAGTTAAAAATACGAAGCAATCTAAATATTATATTTTTCATGGAATAAAAGAGCCTTAAGGAATAACGAATAATCTGTCTGTAACAATATGGAATAAACAGCGACCTTTATTTTATATCGCTCTTATTTGATTGAAACAATTATTTATTTTAGTCATTGTGATCTCTTCCATTCAATTTGATTTCTTGAAAATCGTAAGATAATGAAATGATTGCCAATTTTGTTTTAGAGATCTAGATTATTCAAAATTTATGAAATAAATGTATAGAATCCAATTATTTTAACGCTGATATTTATGCTTTATTTCCGTGTAAATTGACAGGATTCATAGTACCTCTTTCAAAATGGTAGAAACTAGTCAAGGCTTTGACGTTTGTCCCTACCACAGTAGAGCTATTTACACCGGGTCACGCCAAGTACGGCCAATTTTATGTGTACTCTAGCCAAACCCTCGGTGAAAACACGGATTTCATGTCAACTTTGCATTTCCACCAAGATTTAGACTGAAATAGACAATCTTAGACGCACTTCTTCCACTTTTATGGCACTCATGAAGAATAGAGAACAAAAGGCCGAACTTATGGAGGTATAACATTTAGACTCTCGATTCTAGAGTGTTGGTTCCCTATCTTCCCCACAGTATACGCGTGTTAAAAGACGCGTGCTAAAAGACAGAGCTATGGTGGTGGGGTCAGGCGTTGTAGGGGCAGGTTAACCACTGATCTCTATACAACTGGATAGCTTGTCCTTATGGGCCCAGCAGAATTAGAAGGATTTTTGACCCCTATATTTTGACACTTATATTCTGACCCCTAGATCCTGACCCTTGTATATTTTGGCCCTTGTATTTGGACCTTCATATTATGACCCCTGGACTTTGACCCATATATTTTGACCCCTAGATTTTCACCCCTATATTTTGACGCTCATATTATGATCCCTGGATTTTGACCCCTAGATTTTGTCCCTAGATTTTGACACTTGTATTCTGACTTATCAATATAAGTCAGAATACAAGCCCTAGATTTTGACCCAAACGAAACTGATGTTCTCGACCATATCCTTTCAAATTGTTAAAATAATTTTGGGCCATGTTTAGGTCAGCCCAAATAGTTTTGGGTTATGTTTAGGTGAGGTTTTTTGAAATTTTTTTTGAAAATTGCAGTTGAGTTCTGGCAATAGTTTCGTATATTTATAATTATTAATTTCGTTTTTTATTTCGTTTTGTGTAGAATAAAATGATGCACCTGAGGAGGAATGCTTAGAGCATTCGAAACGTAGTGCAATTTTGATTACTTAAATTTTTTTTGAGTGTTTACTGCTGCTGACCTAAACATGGCCCAAAATTATTTTAACAACTAGATTTTGACCCTCATATTCTGACTCTTGGATGTTGACCCTTATATTTGAAACCCTGTATTTTGTCCTGCATTTTTTTACTTCCATATTCTGACCCTCATATTTTGATCATAAGATTTTGATTCTCATATTATGAACCTTATATCCTGACCCTTCGATTTTGTCCCTTATATTCTTACCTTTAAATTTTGACCCTAATCTTTTCACCATTAAATTTTGATCCTATTGACCGTATGGTTCCATAGGAAAAATAACAAGACGTCGCAAGTCCGATATTTTCATTATGGACAATCGTCAACATTATATACATTATATTATTTTTTTTTTTAACAAAATATAGCTCCATCATGTTAGTACTATACATAATACTTGACGAGATCAGCCGTGTGTGCTACACACGTGCCTTGTCATTTCGCACAGTGACGTTTCGGTTTCAGTCTTATGCTTACCCTCAATATGAAAATCAATTTTTCCTCCCCTAATTGAGGTGGAGAGAAGGAATGAACGAATATCGATTGAGAATTGAATTCTCAATGAATTGACACCGGTTCTATTTCTAAACCTGAATTAGAAGAGGACAAATACATGTTAAGTACGTAGTGACTGCGGACAAGTCCTCCCCATTAAAAAATTCATTACTCCTCTCCCTAATTGAGATGAAGGAATGAAACAAACGCCTATCGATCGCGAATTATATTTTCAATAAGGGGGGGGGGGGTAAATGTTCCAATGGAGGGAGCCCCTCCGGACGCACTCGATGCCGGAGAACCTTTCGGGGTTACTCCGCCCTTTTGAAAATTAATTCCTTTTCTCCTTATTGAGATTAAGGAATGAAACCGCTGTCTATTATTGAGAATTCAATTCTCCATCGATCGACGTTGATTTCATTGCTTCATCCCAATTAGGGGGGGGGGGGAATGAATTTTCCAATCGGGGGAGCCCCTCCGGGCTCACTCGACGTCAGAGAACCGTTGTGGATTCCCCCGCGCTTTGAAAATTCATTCCTCCACTCCTTATTGAGATTAAGGAATGAAACCGCTGTCATTTATCAAAACTACAATTCTCGATCGATAGGCGTGGGTTTCATTCTTTCATCTCAGTTAGGGAGGGGAGAAAAGAATTTTTGAATGAGAAGAACTTGTCCGTAGTTACTCCGCGCTTTGAAAATTCATTCCTCCGCTCCTAATTGAGATTAAAGAATCAAACCGGTGTCATTTATTGAAAATATAATTCTCGATCGCTAGACGTTAGTTTCATGCCTTCATCTCAATTGGGGGGGGGGGAGAAATGAATTTTCCGTGCCGGCGGGCGCAAAGTTACTCTGACTTTGCGCCTACGCCGAAACGGAAAATCGCGTTCTAACCACGGGAAGTAAAATAAAGGACCCTCAGCCGCCTGCTTACCAACCTCGCCTTCGGCTCGGCTGCACTGGCGGCTGAGGATCCTTTATTTTCCCTCCCTAGGTTAGAAATATACTATTCCAATCAGAGAGCCCCTCCGGACTCACTCGATGCCGGAGAACCGTTCGGGGTTACTCCGCACTTTGAAAATTCATTCTTCCGCTCCTAATTGAGATTAAGGAATGAAACCGCTGTCTATTATTGAGTATTCAATTCTCCATCGATCGGCGTTGATTTAATTCCTTCATCCCAATTAGGGGGGGAGAAATGAATTTTCCAATCGGGGGAGCCCCTCCGGGCTCACTCGACGTCAGAAAACCGTTGGGGGTTCCCCCGCGCTTTGAAAATTCATTCCTCCGCTCTTTATTGAGATTAAGGAATGAAGCCGCTGCCATTTATTAAAAATATAATTCTCGATCGATAGGAGTTGGTTTCATTCCATCATTTCTATTAGGGAGGGGAGAAATGAATTTTTGAATGAGAAGAACTTGTCCGGAGTTACTCCGCGCTTTGAAAATTCATTCCTCCGCTCCTAATTAGTATTACGGAATGAAACCGGTGTCATTCATGGAAAATATAATTCTCGATCGATAGGCGTTGGTTTCATGCCTTCATCTCAATTCGGGGGGGGGGGCGGGGGGAGAAATGAATTTTCCAATCGGGGGAGCCCCTCCGGGCTCACACGACGCCGGATAACCGTTCGGAGTTACTCCGCGCTTTGAAAATTCATTCCTCCGCTTCTTATTGAGATTAAGGAATGAAACCACTGTCATTTATTAAAAATATAATTCTCGATCGATAGGAGTTGGTTTCATTCCATCATTTCCATTAGGGAGGGGAGAAATGAACTTTTGAATGGGAAGAACTTGTCCGGAGTTACTCCGCGCTTTGAAAATTCCTTCCTCCACTCCTAGTTAGGATTGCGGAATGAAACCGGTGTCATTTTTTGAAAATATAATTCTCGATCGATAGGCGTTGGTTTCATGCCTTCATCTCAATTTGGGGGGGAGAAATGAATTTTCCAATTGGAGGAGCCCCTTCGATGTCACAGAACCGTTCGAGGTTACTCCGCGCTTGTGAAAATCCATTCTTTTTTTCCTTTTTGAAATTAAGGAATGAAAACGGTGTCATTTATTGCGAATTCAATTCTTGCTCGAGCGGCGTCGGTTTCATTCCTTCATCTCAATTAGGGGGGAGGAATACATTTTTTGATGGGGAGAACTTGTCCGCAGTCACTCCGTGCTTCCAAAATGTATTTGTCCTCTTCTAATTGAGGTTTAGAAATGGAACCGGTGTCAATTAATTAAGAATTCAATTCTCAGTCGATTGGCATTCGTCCCTTCTCTCCATCTCAGTTAGGGGAGGATAATTGATTTTCATATTGAGGGCATAATTCCGGGGTCAGTCGGCGTTTAAAACCGGAAGGTTTCCCTCAACGTCGTCGGGATACTCATCACGGCTTGCCCAGCCCTCCTATTCCCCCCACATAGATGCTTTCTCCCACTCTACGCCGTTATCGGCGCTCTCATACCCTCCCTGGGGTACGTACCTGTGTTTTACTGTCAGGTACGTAATCCACGTCTTGTACGCTCCCTGCCTTACTCACAGGTATGTACTCTGGATTAGTTAATGTGCCACCGCTACGGAATTTTGCGGTTGACACTTCTACATAAGCGCTGGCAATCTCCTCTATAATCTCTCAGAATAGTTTCAACCTATGTCAGTAGAGTAAAGAGCTCCTTAAAAGTCAGCAAAGTATCTCCAATTGTCCGTGAGAGACGATACTTCACCGACTTCACTGCCACCTCTCACTCTCCTCCGAAATGAGGTGCACCTGGAGGGCTGAACGACCACTGCGCTCCATCGTTGAGAAGTACCTGAGCGAAATGACGAGTCTCTTGTCCCTGTAGAGAAGAGCTTCTTAAACTCCTTATCAGCGCCTAGGAAGGGCGACACGCCAAAATTCCACCGTCAAAATTCCCCGCCCCATATTTCCCTGGTCAAAATTCCCCCCGTCACTTTTCTTCCCGACATAATTCCTTCATGTTAATATTCCTTGCGCTAATTCTCCTAACCTAATAATTCCTGCCGATAAAATTTCCCGTATGGCGTATTTATTCGGTTTTTTTAAATTATATATTTGGTTCGTGAAAATCTTTATTCAAATTTTAATAACAGGCAACATGAATTCTATGAAATTGATGAAATTGATTATTATTTGTATGTTGGAACATGAAAGTAAACTATTTACAATGGATACAAATCGTTGTCTCCGTGTGATGAACTGTAGAATTTTGCGTTCTTTGTGTTTTTGACACACCTGTTGAGTGCTTATTGTGATTCTAATGCCCAATCC